GAGAGAGAGAGAGAGAGAGAGAGAGAGAGAGAGAGAGAGAGAGAGAGAGAGAGAGAGAGATCGTCTCAAAGACAAAGGGGAAGGTCAAGGGTCAAACTAACAGCAGACTGACTGGTCCAGGGTCAGAGGGCTTCAGCTAACCTGATCAGTGATGGTTGTTCATCTAAGAACCATCGTCCTGTTATTTTCCTCGGTGTTAAACTCTTACTTTTAGAACAACTCAACAAATCAGAAATGTTTTACTGGTTTCACAGATTTATCTAAATCAGAGGTCCTCAAACTGGGGTCCCAGGACCCCTAGGGGTCCGTGAGCCATGTCTCGGGGGTCTTAAAAAATTTCAATAAATTGTTAATTTGTTTTTTAATGCATTTAAGGAATAATGCACTTGTAAAAAAAACATACTAAACCAAACAAAAAACATTACCATGGCATTTAGGGGTTAAATAACAGTAAATTATTTAGAATTAAAAGCATGGGGTTTATGAGTGGGTTCCCTGGAATTTTTTCACCCTTGTAAGGGGTCCCCAGACCCTAAAACTTTGAGAACCACTAATCTAAATAAACTAGAGAACTTGTGTTTTCTGCCCAATAAAATTTGCTTAAACTGATTTGCAAAGAAGCAGAACACTGGCTAAAACCTAATAGAAAGAAAATAGTTAACTATTTACAATAAGCTAGCTAAAAAATAACATATTGGTAGCTGAAAGCTATATATGTAGCAAAAGAGCAGCTAAAAACTCAGATTAACAAAAGGCTAGTTAAAAGCTAAAGAAGATTGAAATAGAGCCAATATGCTGAAGCAGATTTCAGAGCATAATGTTTTACGGGGAACTAAAACGATTTCATATTTTTTTGTGGAAAATATGTGTAAATCAATTTTGAAATGAATAATGAATGAAACAAAAGTCAWAGTGCCCATCTCCTTAATGAGGGAACATATTTTTAATAGCTAGAATAGCACAAAGTACGTAAATAAGATTGGAAAATAATGTAAGAAAAACAAAACAAAACAGGAACTGTGTGAATATTGAATTAGTCTAATTCAGATTAAAAAAGGATTCTTGTGTTTTAACTCCAAACATTTTATCAAAGTGGAAGAGCTGCAGCCAAACACACAACCGTATGAAAGAGACCTGGGTGCTTCCACAGTGGGTGGTGTTGGGGGGTTCAAGCCATTGTGGAGCCAGTGTCCCTTCAGATTACAGCCAGAGGACTGAAGAGGCATGCTAATCCTGCACACACACACACACACACACACACACACACACACACACACACACACACACACACACACACACACACACACGCACTGGTTCAAGCATACGGTGTATTAGAGACAAAGAGATGTGTACACACATCACAAACTGATTCTGACACACACACAAACTCATTCAATCAAGACCTGACCTCATGTGCTGCGTCCAGACTGGACACACAATCATGATATCAGTAGCAGGACATCACATCTCTGCTGTCCATCATCGGGTCTATGTGGTCACTGCCAGCAGACACACACTTTTCTGATTTTGAACAAAAGAATGTGGTCGCTCCTGAGCTTGAGCTGAAAACGAGACGAGAAGAATCAGTTTGTAGAAGATATTCAGACCTCATCAAGACAATTTACTGGTGTTTAAGTTGTGTTATTGGTTGTTTTTTTGATCTACGTATCTATCTATCTATCTATCTATCTATCTATCTATCTATCTATCTATCTATCTATCTATCTATCTATCTATCTATCTATCTATCTATCTA